ATCGACCTTGCTGAGCAATAAATGTGAAATTCTTAAGAAAACTGATATTATCATGGATTTCGTGACACAAACTAACCGAAATACTACTTTGGACGATTGAACAGTTTTAATACGGAAATATAGGATTAGATGAAATTTTCATCGGGGTGGGACACCGCATGTATCGTAAGTTAAGCTAATTTTGTGATAATTTTTCAGTGACTTCAAATAAATTTTTATTTAAATAACCATTTGCACATTCTGTTTATTATATCTTCTTGCAGTAGGTGTATTCCCTGCTTTAATAATTCATTCAAACCCTAAACAAACTGTTCCTAAATAGAGGTAGGGTCAAAATTCCACAAAAAAAGGACGCCATTTTGAGGGTAATTTCGATATATTTTCTGCTTTTTCTCTTTTTTTGCTTTTATAACAACATCCTCCTTGCTCATGCAGCTTCTTTGATTTGTTATTGAAACATACACAACGATGTCATGAGAATTTGGTTGGCTATCTAAATTTAAATAACATTCTTGTTATGGCCCCCCTGCAGTGCACCACTAGCAAAGAATGACTGGGTTAGAAAAACATTTCGGCCATTCTCATATCATCCCCACATTACAGTAACAATAAATACATAGTCAATGAATATCATTTTAATATGTTGTGTTTGTAACCTTGTTTTTTGCTTCTATTTTTGCCAAAAACAGTTTATATGGCAGATGCAGTCTGACATTTTAAAAATGTTGGGAACTCATGTTTACAATCGTATTTTAATATTCAAATAAAGCTGTCCCAGCAGATTTTAGTAAACAATCTTAGACGCACTTTTCTTCATATGCTTTTAGCATTTCTTATAATCTACCAAAGTCTTGGGTGAAAATAGAAAGGTGAATTATGACATGATAGAAATCAAAATCCATTCATTCAAATTTATCGTTGAATCAAATGAAAGTCAAAACCATATCTGTTACAGGAAAAAAAAAGAAAATTTACTTCTTGAAGTAGTCACTTAAAATGTTATTTTTAATCGAGGCTTTAGTTCATGCAGATTAAAAATAAATGACAAAAGGGCTCAATTAATGGTGCACAGTTCAAGCAACAGGAATGAAATGGAAATCAAATGGAAAGCCGTCATATGACTTTTTCTTCAACTCATTTAATCTCGAGACCCGAAAATGTAAGCAGCGGAGTCAGGTGCTTCGTCGTAGGTAAAGTCCTTGATTCCATATAAAAACTCTTTTACATCAATAACGTTACTTCTGTCGCGGTCAATGGCACGGAAAATGACTTGAATGTCAGCCGTGTTTCGAAATATGTCTTAAAATTTAGAATACTCATTAAGCATTAATTCTTCACTACAGTCGACATCAACAATGTGAAAAAAGTCCAAAGCAATTTCGTCTACCTCATCACCCGTATAAACCATATCTTTTCCAAAGGATTGGATCCAATCATCAAATGAAATGGATGTCTTATAGTCGGTGTATTCATTTGACCACCATGTGTGATACGCCATGTTCAATACCCCATACACTGCCTTAACTTTCCATTATGGCAAAACATTGACGTCGTTGACGTCCAATGTGTCAAAATGTTCTTTGTGCTTAGATACCCAAAATGGGGTCAAGGTTTCCTTGTTGTCCTGTTCAATCCGAAAAGATAGTTTCTGTTTTAAAATTCACGTCTTAATAGATACTTAACAAAACCAAATGAACACAGAAGTACTCTTTACGTTAATTTAACGTATAAGAAAATGGGTAATTTTCATTCCCCCTTACTGATGCAAGATACTTTCACTACATGTACGTATTTGCTACCTCGATCCTGCTGCTCTTACTTTTGACTTTTTACTCGGCTATATGGTCCCAATATCCAACATACAAGAAGAGGAAAATTATCCACTATTACCTTCACTCCATCTGAAAAATCTACTTTTGGGACAATCACAATGAATAACACAATTCCAAGTTTGCTTGAAAACATGTTGCCGTCTTGTTCACTAGAATAAGTAAATAACAGAAAATCTTAATAAATGCAACGCAACGCCCTTTGTTCAGCAAGATGGGGGACTAACATAAGCAACCGGCTCTGAAATCTTAAAAGAACAATTCTACATGAAAGTCCTCTGGAACTGAGAATTTAGGAGGACAAAAATACCGGGTATACATGTATATGATAAGTATTCATTAGTAACCGAAATGTAAAATTTTTGTACAATTGGAGTCTGCAAAAAAAAAAAAAAAGTTCTTTAGTCTCAGCGGAACATACACGAGGAAGCTAGGTCACATTTCTAAAAGCTTTGTTAATGTACAGCTTAAGTAAGTGTATTAATTGAAAAGTTTAAACGTATAAAATAATCAAAAGACTATACACATATCAATTTCTATCAACGTTATTTCTGAAATTCATATGTGATGCGAAAATTTTGTTCTTGTTTCCTGGGTTACATATATATATATATATATATATATATATATATATATATATATATATATATATATATATATATATGTGTGTGTGTGTGTGTGTGTGTGTGTATTTGAATGGGAGGTGTAGAGAGGTTCAACCAATAATGGAGGTCAAAGGAGCATCTTTTACCTAAATTTTGATATATTGCGTCCTTCTCGGTTTAATGAAAATGATGATCTCTTTGTGGGTGGAGCTGGCTCAAGGAATGAAAAATGGTCAATGTATTCCATGGTCGAGACAGTGAATACCTGATTGCAAAGCATGGCACCAAACATGTTAATTTAACGCATGCCAAGCGACATTGATGATTTTGGAGACTGGAAGGCGTCTTTATTCTGTAGTTTTCTCTTAATTTATTCCTAGCCGACGTAAAAAAAGCACTGTGTATCTAGGCGTTGTGTATCTAGACACACAGTTATTTTTAGATAGATTTTTAGGAAACTGCTTCTTTCGAGCTGCATCAGTGAGAAGTCATTCAGCCTTTTAGCTGCGGATACTTACGTTTCTTTATTTTAAATTTTACACCCTCCACCATCCCTATCACGTGCCTTGTGTTGTTTTTATTTTTATTTGTGCCAAATTTTTGATCCTAAAGCTGTTGTTATTTCTCACGATTTTCTTATTTAATCTTGGTTACACTCATTAACATACTTTATCATTTTTATATTATGGCACTTATGTAGTTTGAGAGATGCTATATTATCTCCCCAGTTTTGTTACTTCGTACCTTATTAGTTTTCGTCATTAATAAATGACAATTTTCAGTCGTATGGACTTATCTTACTTACTTTGGAGCAAAAACTGAGCTTCGTTGTGCTTGTGAACATATGGCTACATTGACTGAAATGTATAGCTCAGTACTCAAGTATGTTTGACAGGGTGTATGCCTCCGTTTACTGATGTACTACTTATGATCTGCTTCCAAAAAGAGATATACATGTAGAATACGGGGCAACCATTGCTAAATAAAAGTTTTAATGGGTATCTCACTGCAAAGTTTACAGACCATGAACAGTTGAATATTATACTTTGAGCCACACACACTTGAAATACTAATTCAATCTGTTGGATATCATATTTTCACGGGCACTCAATCATGAAGCTGTTACAATAAGTAAAAATGCAGATCTAAACACTGATGGCAATAAATATACAGATTTCTTACCAGGTGTATGCCCTCCACGTCTAAAGCAGCTGTATTGCTTGGAGGAAAGTAGTCTTCTTCGATTACATGATATCCCACATCCTCCGGTTGAAGATGCTGTCACAGGTGTGTTTCCCCTATTCGACGTGTTTTCACCATCAGCTTTAAGCATATCACTTTGTATCTTTAAATGTAAACATTGAACTACATTTTCATACGGGTTGTCAAGTGACATTATTTTTACTTAGGCACACTGTTCATTAGTGGTGTGTCAAGTCTTCTGGGCAAACATCCTTATAATTCAAACAATAATCATATCAATACTTTTAAACTGTTTCATAGACAGATAGTGGTCGTTATTGTTTAAAGACTGTGTAACCAATCAAAATGTACATTGCCAATTAGTACGTATCAGTTGTACATACTACTGATGACCGACAAATAATATGAAACTTTGACTTAAATGATTTACCAAAGGGGAATTTAATTAATTATTTAAAACATTAAAAATATAAAGAATATAGTTTAGATAACATTTCCGTTGTATTAAACTTGCTGGTACTTTCGCGTATGTGGTTAGAAAAACACTTCGGTTATTCTCATGCCATCCCCACATAACATTAACAATAAATACTCTGTCGATGAATATATTTTAATATGTTTTGTTTGTAACCTCGTTTTTTTAGTTCTATTAATTTGTTAAAAACATTTCATGGCAGATGAAGTCTGACAATAAAATTTTGGGTAATTATGTTTATAAACGTATTGTAATATTCAAATAAAGCTGTGAAAGCAGATTTTAGTAATCAACCTTATATATACACTTTTCTTCATATGCTCTTGGTATTTTTTATAATCCACCAAATTCTTGGATGAAAATAGAAAGGTGAATTATGAAATGACGGAAATCAAAATCCATTCATTCAAATTTCCATGGAATCAAATGAAAGTCAAAACCAAATCTATTACAGGAAAAAAGAAACATTTCACTTCTAAAAGCAGTCACTTGAAAAGTTATTTTCAATCAAGGCTTAATTTCATGCAGATTAAAAAGAAACAACAAAAAGCTCAATAAATGGTGCACAGTTCAACAGCGACGGAAATGAAAAATTCAGATGAGAAATGTCAGAAAAGCTACCATTCATTCAAAATCAAACGGATAACCGTCAAATGACTTTTTAGTCAAATCATTTAACCCCGAGACCCAAAAATGTATGCAGCGGAGTCAGCTGCTTCATCGTAGACAAAATGTTTCATTCCGTATGAAAACTCCTTAACGTCAATAACGTTATTTCTATCACGGTCAATGGCACGGAAAATTACTTGAATGTCAGCCGTGTTACGAAATATGTCAAGAAATTTGGAGTATTCCTTAAGTGTTAATTCTTCATTGCAGTTGACGTCAACAATATGGAAAAAGTCCAAAGCAAATTCGACTACCTCATCACTCGTATAGCCGTTGTCCTTTTCAAAAGATTGGATCCAATCATCAAATGTAATGAATGTTTTAAAGTCGGTGTATTCATTTGACCACCATGTGTGATACGACATGGTCATAACACCATACACTGCTTTAGCTCTCCATGATGGCAAAACACGTTTAGCACGTTCCGTTGTCGCAACAGTGTGCTCCTCTTCCGTTACAACCCCGTCTTGGTTGACGTCAAAGATGTCAAATTGCTTTCTGAACTTACTTACCCAATACGGGGTAAAGTCTTCATTGCTGTCCTGTACAATCTGAAAAGAAAAATTATATTTCAATATGACGTCTTAAGGGATACTTAACCAACTACCAGACTTTGGCACCGAATGATTTCGAATTCACCGGTAGGTAGGACCCCACTACTCGTTTTCAAAGGTGTGCGTCAGTGCGCGCTTAGAACTATCAGACGCCTGTAAAAGATTAAGACAAACCAAGGTACACGGACTATAAAATGTTTGCATTTGATGTCTTATTAAATATGTTTATTTTTCCATGTCCTCTTACAGTCTGTACTAATGTTGATATTTATATACTTTTATACTTTTAGGCCGCACTCACATCGAGTTGAGCCATGGCTCTACAAAGCCACGACCTAAATATGGCGGACGTACGTGAAAGGAAAACCGCCTAACCTTTTAATAGTCTCTCCGCCTCTCACACGCTTCCCCATGTGTCATCCCAATGGAGCCGAAATTTAATGACTGTACCCCTGCAGGGACGACGCATGGGGAGGCGTGTGAGAGGCGGAGAGACTATTAAAAGATTAGGCGGTTTTCCTTTAATGTACCTCCGCCGTATTTACGTAGTGGCTTTGTAGAGCCATGGCTCAACTCGATGTGAGTGCGGCCTTATATTGCTCACGATAACTCGGGGCCACTGCTGGGGTGACAGGAATAGTAGTCCTCTATAGTGACCGAAGTACAGGTGACATATCCGTCCCATAAACATACCACAATATTCCGACTAACCCTAACCTGTACTAATCATGTAAGACCCTGGACTTTCATTCCAAGGACAACCATTCCTCTCATACCAGTCTCACTTTGGAATTTGACTTGGCTAGCGCATCTCAAGATGCTTAACTAAAAAAAGGGAAAAGCTTTCCAGATTTACCTTCTCTTCATACGATAAATCTAATGTTGCAACAATCACAATGAATAGCAGGATTTCAAATTCGATAGAAAACATCTTCATCAAGTGTTGGTCAACCACTAATCTGTAAATAGCAGATATGTCATGAATAACAAAAAAAAAAAAAAAAAAAAAAAATCCTATGAATATCACTATGGTGAATGTAGTGGACTTATGCAAACTGCCAGCTTCAAGTGTTCAAAAGAACTAAATCGCTAGGTTATGAAGGGGTTGAGAATTTAGACTTGGTAGGGTTTTCACATACGAGGAATGCCAGGGTAGCCATTGACAATCCAAATGTATAATTTCTAGAAAGTTAGAATATGCAAAACTGACTTTCTTAACTTCAAAAATAAGAGTGACTAAGACTGCCTTCCCATATCGAGCTCAATCTAACAGGATCGATCCATCTCAGAATTTTTTACTAAAGTGCTGTCAGGTTAAGGGGCTTAGATGTCTGGCACGTGTCGGCTACTGAATGAGAATTAATTACCCCCTAGCAGCTTTAGTACGCGTGACAGATATCTAAGCCGCTTAAGTTGATTGTAATTTAGCTATAATCCCCACTCAGATAGATCAATCCACAATTACTACGAAAGGGCCTTGTGATGGTTACATAAACATCACATAGAAAAAACAATAAAATTATACTAGATAGTAAAAATTGTCTTGCAAAAGTTAGATTGAATGTCAATGTTATTTGATAGATACTGTACATGTCGTAATAAAACGTTCAAGTGACTTATGTTTTTGTCTGAACAAGAAACCTTTTTTTACTTAAACATCCTTACCATTGCTTGCAAAGCATAAAATAAATTTCAGTGAATTCAGCTTTATACAACTTAACATGCGGGTCGCAGACTCTTTTTTTTCAAGGTAAGTATCAAGCCAGGGAAATATTTATAGGCAACCTATGTAAGTAAAAACGTAATTGAAAAACAGAAAATGATACAACAGTCGCAATTTTCTGGTAGGAACATAGTGGTCAAGTATACCATGAAGTGATTTTTATAAAGAAGCGTCATATGCATGAATACGTATAATGAATACGTAAATAAATGCTTTTCAATGTGAATAAGAATGAAGCGAGAAATGTATTCTATTATTTACGGAATGTTTTGTGAATGTTTTGGCAATTTTGGAACTGTAATATAATTTTAGAGATTCGACTACCCATTATATTTTTGGAAACAGCTTTATCTTAAACATTAATACAACATATGAAAATAAAATTAAAATGATATTCTTATTAAAAAGGCATTGTTCCCTGAATAAGCAGCAACAAAATCAAAACGATATTCTTATTAAAAAGACATTGTTCCCTGAATCGTGTTTTCCTTACCAGATGCTGGCCCTTTTCTTCCGGAGTTGCTCTTCCACACACACCTGATAATTTCCGATACAACTTTCCTTTTGGTCGTCTGTATACTGACGACGATGTTATATAACATCGCCGTCTGTATACTGACGACGATGTTACATAACGTGTGACGTGTTCTTTTCCAAACATAACATGTTTCTGCGCATGTGCAATGCATTTTTTAATCATCGGTTTATATTATGGACACAATAATGTATGAATTTGAGCCTCCGATTATAGGAAACTGAAGATTTACTCTATATTTCGTGCATGGATATATAATCTACATTAATAACCACCAACTACTGTATATTGGGGCGGGGAATCTTCTTGAAAATCGTTAACAAATCATCAGTAATTGTAAATTATATTTTGAATCATAAACATGTCGATCTACCTAAATATTTAATAAGATGTTACAATATAAGTAAATTGGTCTATCTCACCACTGCTGCTTACACATTGTACGTTTTCCTTATAGACATATATTCTATATGTCTATAGCAGCTGTATTGCTTTGTGGTAAATGCTGTGTCACTCGTGCGCCCTATTCGCCATGTTGTCATTGTCCCATCACCATCAGCTTTAAGAGTTTTCTTTGTATCTTGAGATGTAAACATCGAATGACATTTTCATACGGGTTATCAAGTAGCATTTTTACTTATACACACTGTTTATGCAGCATCGGTGGTGTGTTGTATTATGTACATACATCACGCCATGAATTATATGTTGTGTTTAAGACGTTGTCATATTAACGTTGCCAATTACTACGTATCAGCTGTAGATTCTGACGACCGACAAATTATATGACACTATGATCAAAAATATTTACAGAAGGGAAATCAAATTAACTATTCGGAATGAAATTCAAAGTACACACTTGAGTGATATGATGACATGCATATAACGGATACGTTTTGATGGCATTTTCGTGGTGTTAAACTGAGCACTTCAAACATTCTCATACCACCCGCACATTATGGTAACAATCACCGTATTATTACAATATGTTTATTTCTAATTTTCTCATTTTATACAGTTTTGCCAAGAAAAATCTATGAAAGATGTAGATTCTTAAAAGATTAAACGTACATGGTACTTATGATCACAGCCATTTACCTTAAAACTGTAATATTGTTTTCAGTAATGTTAACTCAATGTCCAGATTTGTTCCTCTGATCTAAGCATATTTTATAAATTGGCAAATTTGTAGATGAATATAAAAGGATAAATTATAAAATGATGAAATCCATAAGCCATTTATTTCGATCCACTCAACTCAATGAAGGATAAAGCTATACCCTTTCCAAAGTATCAATCTTGACGCGAATTCTCTCTCAAATTCTTGCAAATTCGCTGCAAGCTTGCTGCTAAATTGCTGTGACTTTGCGGTGAATTCGATGCAAATTTATCAGAACTTGAATACTTGCAAATTGCCGTTGTAATTGCACATTTGCTGGAATAAGCAGCAATACAAGTTGTTATTGTAAACTCCTGCATACTAGTTGCCGCAAGCTTTTAATTTAATTTTGCCGCAAACATTTCATTTTTCTAAGGGCACCTATTACAGAAAATATGGAGACTTTTATGCTTCAATTTTTCACGGATTCACTTGACATATTGCTTTTCTAAAATATTATCAAGTGTTAAGTTCTGCTGTGGCGAAGAAACGATAAGTTCTGATAATTTTATTGAAGCAAAATGCAATTAATAGACTAAGTTAACAATCCACAGTTCACCAGTGATAGGAATCAAGTGTTACGTCCTGATGTAAAGAAGGAACAATAAGTTTTGAAGAATATTCAGGGGGTATAGAAAAATGCAATAAATGGACTAAGTTAACAACGCACAGTTCACCAGTGACAGGAATGGAAAGCTACCATTTATCCAAAACCAAATGGCTAACCATCGAATTGATTATTCGTCAACTCCTCTAATCTCGAGACCCTAAAATGTACACAGCGAAGTTAGCTTGTTGGTCGTATGTGAAATGCCTGACTCCATATGCAAACTCTGTAGCATCTATGGCGTTATTTCCATCACGGTCAATGTAACCGAAAATAACTTAAGTGTCAGCAGTGTTGCGAAATATATCAAGGAATTTAGAGTACTCGTTAAGTGTTAATTTTTGACTGCAGTCGATGTCAACAAAATGGAAAAAAATCCAGAGCCCATTCGTCTATTACATCACCCGTAGAGCAGATTTCCTTTTCTACAGACTGAATCCAATCCTCGAATGTATTGGATGTCTCATAGTTGGTGTTTTCGTTTAAAAACCACGTGCGATAGGTCATGGTCATTACCCCATACACTGCCTTAGCTCTCCAACATGGCAGAACAAGTACAACTCGCTCCGCTGACAAAATAATGCACTCTTTCTCCGTTACATTGCCGTCTGAATTGACATCAAATATGTCAAATATCTCCTTGGATTTACAAACCCAATACGGAGTGACATTTTTATTGAATTCCTGTGAAAATTTACATTTAGGAAAAGGTTATTCTTATAATGTGACATTAAAAGCAAATGCATGAGATAAGATAAGAACATGCATAAGTAAGTGACCACAAAAGTTTCTACATAATATGAAATTGATCTGACTTATTAAGACCTACAAGGTTGTTATTAATATACGTTTATTTTCAAAAAAATTAGTACTGTTTTGAATCTTAAATTCTTAACTGTCTATTTATGTATTAACAATTCATATGGATTTTAGACTATATAAAAGTAAAAATATTATAATTGTTTTTAAAATTATATTCTAGTTGATGTACATATATCATTTGTGTTTCCTCTTATTTACAAGGTAGTAGGTGACCCAGACTTGATAAGAATGTTTTCCTCGAAATCTTTAATTCTGCTGCTTATAGTGATTGTTCCAGTCGTAAATTTGTCATATGGATTGGCGGTAATCCCTCAAACAAAGTTTTTTCTTGTTATTAGAATATTGCAATACGCTATCCATATTTAAGTTATGCACATACATGTACATAAAGTTGGTTATAATGTAATAAAATAATCAAAGACACAAAGATCAGTAAAGTACAGGGTTACCACTTAATATGGAATATGATTTTTTGGCGAGTAAACTTTCTACAAAATATTTAATTTCTCTCTAACTACTTTAAATCCAAAGCTGAGGTGTCACTCCATGTGTAGCCAGGTGTGTTACCTTATTACCACACAACTCTCGAAACAATTAATGCATGCAGTTGCATGTTCTGTGGTCAGAAATGTGAGGGGTGGTCTTTTCGGCAATTTCTGCCCTTGAAAAAAAACGCATGGGTTTGGTCAATCTTTGGAGTGTGTTTAGAGAAGCAACAAAGGGATCGCTCTGAAACATGACAGGTACCTTATTGAAGATATGGTTCGACAGCTAAGCAATGCAGCTTACTATGGAATTCTTGCTCTCAGAGAAAATGTCCAGAAACGGACAGCCATTGCCAGGTAATTCAACATTTATCAAGAACCGTTTGTAAAGTCCTCCAAAGAAATGATGCAACAGGGACACCTACTCCAATACCTCGACCAGGGTGTCCGCGTATCACACCAAGAAGACAGGATCGCCTTCTCCTTAGAGGACGCCGTGCTGGTCGTACAAAGACAACCAGTGTCCTCAGAAAGGAGAGGCAGAATGTCATTCCAACGCCCGTTTCAAGGTCCCCTGTGAACAAGACCCAGCAGGCATAGTTGCGTTGGATCAACGTTGACAACAGGTTGAAACGTTGAATTGCCGTTGATCTACCGTTGCCGTGATGAGGCCAGATATGGATTTTTTATAGTTGATGGTCGAATCCGTGTCCACCGACGTGTACGAGGGGCATAAAACGATGATTGTGTACTGCCTAGGGTGCAAGCAGGGGTAACGTAACGTCTCTGTTTGAGGAGCATTTCATGTCGGTGCCCAGAACCAGTTGGTTTGTCTAAGAGGCAACCTCAGCAAGGATTCCTACAGAGACATTCTACAGCAAACGATTCTTCGACTGGTAAGAGCCATCTTCAGGAACAACTTTGTGTACCAAGGCGACTGCGCAACCCCACATCGAGGTGGCAGAATCACTGTTTTTCTTCAAAACCAATGGGTTCAGCAACTGCCCTGGCCTGCAAACTCTCCAGATATGAACCCAATAGGGAACATCCGAGATAGCCTATTTTGAACATCTGCGCAGCAGATGACGTCAAACGAGACCTAGATTGGAGCGAGATTTCACGAGAGGTGGGGTTAAAATCTGCCATTGAAAATTCTCTCGCGGTTGGGCACAAGTCTATGTGATAGGATTGCATTGAGTTAAATTTGGCGTTGTCATGTAATTTGAGATAGAGCAACGCAATGGCGAATTGCTAAGATTCCCTGCATTGTTGTGTCGTAGGGTGCATTGCAGTTAAAACTAAGCGAGAAAACCAGGAAAATGACCATGGATGACGGATACGACTGGCGAGAGAAGTGAAGTAAAGAAAGAGAAGTTGGGCTTGATCAGATTAAAAGGACTAAGTGCCGACATATTTAAAGTACAGATAAGTCGCAGTATTTTGTAGGAAGAAAGGGACCAACTGCAGACAACTAGCACCCGACACGTCACTTCCTGGCATCACCGTATAGACCGTATCATCAACGGTCGAGGGGCATATTAATAAGTAAGATTTGTGTGTGTAGTTTACAGGACACCATGGTTTATTAATGTAATACAGCCCTAGTAATTGTGATTAATAGTCTTTTACGGTAACCAGGCCCGTAGTCAGCAATTTTAGAGTCAGATCTGATCACAATGAAACTTACATTTTGTGAATGCTATCCATTAGCTTCTCTAGCATCATTTTCATAAGTAAACAAATGAAGAAAATTAACTTTATGATCAACTTTGAGCCTTTTGAATTAGTTACTATAAATTTAGTGAAATTAAAACAAAGATGCGGGCAAGTCTAATGTTCTGACATGCAATCCATCAGTAAATGAAATGTCAAATGATTTTATTTTACTTCTTTATAAATAAAGTTTAATAGTAAAACATTAATAAAGAAAAATTAGTTGCAGTTATAAAGCTTTTGTTGTTCAAACGGATCTCATGAAATGACCAGTCAATGAAGAACAATCAAAAATGAACAATATCTTTAATATGTCTATTTTGCATCCGCTGGCACGTTTAGACAAGAACCTCTTTAAAATCCCTAAGACAGTAATATACAGTGACAATTTAAAAATGAAAAAGAGTGGATAACTATATAAAGTTCTTGACATCTACCGGTACATCAGGGAAATAGTGAAAAAGGAAGATTGAAGAATATTTGCAAAAAAAACAGAAGTAGGAAATTTCATATTGCAATAAGCTGGAGTTAACAATTTAAGTTTAGTAATTAATATAACCTAAAAATGAAGCAATTAAGCCCTTGATAGCACTTGATTATTTTATTTACAAATGTCCAATGCTTGTAGAATGTACATGGACCTACTTTCAACATTGATCTCATTGAAAGCAAAACAGTCATGCCACTCCCATAAAGTGACAAAAAGGTTGCAAATGAATCTCATGTCAGTTGTACGTACAAATAATATAAATACTTTTTCTTTATAAAATGAAAAAAGAACAAGCCTGTAGCTCAAAAATTTTGTAAGTTCAGCTATTTTTCAAGTAAAGAAATCGCTGCTCTACTTCCTTGTGGTCTCCATATTTTAACCCCACCTCAAGGCAGATCTCGTAAAATTACGGGGAAATGTGGTCTTCTCGTTGAGAACCCGGACAGCCTCTATTGAAAATCTTTGGGCAAAAGTAACTCACAGAATTAATAGCTATGGTCATCGGCCTGTAAATAGTGATGAACTGCGAGAGGCAAATATCACTGCGTGGAATGATATCCCCATCCAAACTCTTAAAAACGTGTTACAGGGTATGCCATGTAGGATGAGGGCGCTGCAAGCGGCTGCTGGAGGTCATACCCGCAATTACTGACTTTTCATGATTTACCGTAGTGAGTTCTTTGACTGTGTAACATATCACTGTCCGGAGGCTATCATTTACTTTAATATCTTAGCTTAAAGTTAATACTGACATAAATATGTTGATATGGTTTTCTGGGGGTGTTTCTCTTTTGAATGGCATCTTATGTCAGATTTGATATCATTGACCAAAATAACTCACAACAGAAGACTGGATGTTTTTATTACTCAGTGGCATACTTTTTTAATGACTCAAGTAAAAAAAAAAAAATTAATCAGTACTCAAAAATAACAATGATAAAAAATATTCCATATTTTAATAAATAGCAAAGTAGCAACCCTGTATGTTGTTTTAACGTTGAAACAACGTTGAACCATAACGTTGATAAGACGTTGGATACTCGTTGGATTTGAAAGCCGGATCAACGTCAGATAACAACATAGTATCAACCACAGTTATTAGAAAACATTCTTGCATGAAAAGACATTAAAATTTCCTGAAATGTTTTATTTTTGGCACAAAACACAGGTACTCAATTATAACGTACACTGTAAAAACATCCAAATGCCTCCTTTGTCTGATGTTTTCAACACATTTAGCTCCTAAGCATGTTTTGCACCTAAGTATGGTACACCCTTTAGCCTGGATGTGTTTAGCAGTAGGAAATGTTTGATGGCCAAATATATGTAGGGTATACATCTGTGTGTATGGCCTTAAGTTAGGATTTCCAATATATATATATATATATATATATATATATATATATATATATATATATATATATATATATATATATATATATAAGTCACATTCACCTAAACCTGTCCATCTATAACAGGGTACCCAGAACTGTCAATAACCAAAATACAACGTTGAGTTAACGTCACATAATGACGGTGTTTTGACGTAGATGGATTTACATTGAATTTAGGTGGATCAACGGAAATTCAACGTATCAACCTGTTTTCAACGTTGATCCAACGTCTCTATGCCTGCTGGGAAGCTGATCCAGCATATTTTAGTAATCAAACTTAGATGCACTGTTCTTTATATGTTCTCGGCTTTTCTTATAATCCACCAAATTCTTGGATGAAAATAGAAAGGTGAATTATGAAATGACGATCAAAACCCATTCATTCAAATTTCCCTTGAATCAAATGTCAAAACCAAATCTGTTGCAGGAAAAAATGAATATTTTACTTCTTGAAGCAGTCACTTAAAAAGTTATTTTTAATCAAGACTTAAGTTCATGTACATTAAAAAGAAACAAAAAGGGACTCAATTAATGGTGTACAGTTCAACAGCGACGGAAATTTAGATGAGAAATGTCAGAACAGCTACTATTCATTCAAAAAACAAATAGATAACCGTCAAATTACTTATACTTCAACTCTCTTTATCCCGAGACCCGAAAATGTATGCAGCGGAGTCAGGTGCTTCATCGTAGGTAAAGCCTTTGATTCCATATAAAAACTCTTTTACATCAATAACGTTATTTCTATCGATGTCAATGGCACGGAAAATTACTTGAATGTCAGCCGTGTTACGAAATATGTCAAGAAATTTGGAGTACTCCTTAAGTGTTAACTCTTCATTGCAGTCGACCTCAACAATATGAAAAAAGTCCAAAGCAAATTCGTCTACCTCATCACCCGTATAAACCATATCTTTTCCAAAAGATTGGATCCAATCATCAAATGAAATGGATGTCTTATAGTCGGTGTATTCATTTGACCACCATGTGTGATACGCCATGTTCAATACCCCATACACTGCCTTAACTCTCCATGATGGCAAAACATGTTTAGCACGGTTAGTTGGTACAACAGTGAGCTCCCTTTCCGTTACATTCCCGTCGTGGTTGACGTCCAAGGCGTCAAAATGTTCTTTGTGTTTAGATACCCAATATTGGGTAAAAGTTTCCTTGTTGTCCTGTTCAATCTGAAAAGATAATTTCTATTTTACAATTCACGTCTAAAGAGATACTTGACAAAACCAAACGAACGCTGAAGTACTCTTAAAGTTAATTTAACGTATAAGAATCTGTGTAATTTTCATTGCCCCCTTACTGATGCATGATACTTTCTCTACATGTACATATTTGCTGCGTGGAACCTGCTGTTCTAAGTTTTGATTTTTACTCGGCTATTCGGTCCCAATCTCCAACATACAAGAAGAGAAAAATTATCCACTATTACCTTTACTCCATCTAAAAAATCCACTGTTGGGACAATAACAATGAATAACACAATTCCAAGTTTGCTGGAAAACATGTTGCCAGGTCTTGTTCACTGAAATTGGTAAATAACAGAAAACCTAAATAGATGTAACGCAATGCCCTTTGTACATCAAGATGTTGGGTGTGTGTGTGTGTGTGTGTGGGGGGGGGGGGGGGGGGGGGGGCTAATATAAGCAACCAGGTCTGAAACCTTAAAAGAAAAATACGACATAAAAGTCCTCTGGAATTGTGAATTAAGAGGGACAAGAATTTTCTTACAACCTGTATATGATAAATATTCATTAATAATAACCGAAATGTAAAATTTCTATAAAATTGGAGTCTGCAAAAAAAAAAATAAATAAATAAATAAAAAAATAAAAAAATAAAAATTAATAAATAAATAAACTGTTCATTAGTCTCAGAGGATTACACACGAGGAAGGTCACATTTATAACGAAAGCTTTGTTAAGGTACAGCTAAAGTAAGTGAAGAAATTGAAAAGTTTAAACGTATAGAATAACCAAAAGACCACACATATGAATTTCTATAAATGATATTTCATGTGCGACGTGATAAATTTGCACTTGTCTCTTTTCGCGGGTTCAAATATATATACACCAATAACCACTTAATGTAGGATGGTCGGGGAATATTTTATTTACCGTTTACTGACTATTAATAAATGAATATTATATTTTGAGATCTGAACACTGCTGCCCACGCACTGAACATAATTCTTACCGGATGTCTGTCCTACTGGTCTATGGCGGCTCTATTACCTCTAGGAGAGAAGTCTTCTAAATGACATCATACTTCACTGTTCTCCAGTTAAGACACGCTTTGTCACGCGTTTCCCTTATTCGACATGTTATCAGTGCCATGTCACCACCAGGTTTAAGAGAAGATTCATTTTGTATTTTTAAACGCAAACATCGATCTACATATTAATGAGGGTTGTCAAGTGATGTTTTTAATTATTAGGCCTAGATATTTTCACATTAATTGACATGCACAAATTCACTTTTTACATGTAGGACCAGAGCTCTGTAACTAGAAAGCGTCGCGATTTGCGATAGCGACATCACCTTTCATGTCTAGGCTATTATATGGGGCCAGCGAATGCCGAGTTACGGAATAGAGACGATTGCGCTCGGTCGTAATTCGCGATGGTTTAGAGATACGGAGCCCAGGTGTCCTAAAAGAAATAAGGAAGACAAAAGAAATTTTACTGGATCGAGACAGGATTATAGGGAATATACTGGAGGTCTACTTTACAAAGATCACACCCACAACTTTAGACATTTTCAAGGTTTGAATTATATCAATTACAACTATTTGATTATGTACATGAATTATCATAAGTTAAGAAACGTAGTTTTTTTACATAAAACATGTTGTGTCAAACTGTTTTTATGTCTCCTCATTAACCCAAGCGAAAGGACAAGTAAAGGACAAACACAAATATGGTGTTCGAAATTTCGACGATAGCATCCGCTTTTATTAAAAGGTCCCTCTAGTAAAATAGTAGTGTTTGTTATTATATAGTATTAGATAATGGTAAAATAATTAAAAATACGTAATGTTATAGCATAAAAACAAGTATCAAAACAAATAGTGCTTATATTTTCATCTGTGGCGTTGCAAAGAGGCCAACAGTCGAATCTAGAAATCTAGTGAAAAATTCAAGCCAATATAACGTAAGCCGAAATAATGCAAGCCAAAATATGTGCGTGTATATGTTTTTTTTTTTTTTTTTTTTTTTTTTTTTTTTTTTTTTTTTTTTTTTTTTTTAATTTTGTAAATATGCAGTCATTTTAGAACAATTGCATGTCACATCAAACAAAAAATAACACTAAAACACTAAAAATTACACTGCCAGTATATCCCACCTCTTTTTATCCAAGGAACTTTATAATATAAAAACATGTTGTAGTCATTGCAATTGGGCAAGGGTGTCCATGTTCCATGTATCAAACTCATAAGTACAATAGCCACGCTATGACTCTAATGGACATTTCATGGGTTGAATATGAACACCACGAAAATATCAAAATAGATGTTAATTACGAGAAATGTAGAGAGAGACATGCATGTCATACAGGGTGATTTAAATGTTTATTCTTAATAAGATATACATGTATATGATATACCAAGCATAGAGTAGAGCCAATGATTAAAATTCTAGGAATGCCTTATCTTCGCTTGCCTGGCACTGTTCCGCGGAGAATCAACTTATAGGAAAAAATAAACTGATTGAAAACGTTGAAATTGATTTTCTGGACAAACAACACTACATGTACATAAGACAATTGCCAAATCTAAAACACAGCACAACAACAGCGCACCCAATTTAAAAAACCTAAACCAAAGCGAGTGCACACACGTTTAAAAATTCCAAAGGTAAAACGTAATCTAAAAGGCCAGGGTTGATTTAAAGGGGCACCTCTTTATCATCGCCTGCTTAATAACGAGTGCCTAAAACAGGGCCGTAGCCTCCGGAGGGGCAGGGGGGGGGGCAGCTGCCCCCCCTGGGATTTGAGGTCTAAAAAATAATCGCAAAGGTTAAAAAAATAATTGCAAAATTGGTATCACTTTGATTGCAGAATGAATGCTCAATGATCGGCACGTAAAGGAAAAAAATCCATACGGTACCTTATTACGGGAAGCAGTAAAGAAGCCGTCCAGTGTAAAGCGGACTTTAATCACTGCGCCTAGCTCCAATGACCAAGTGTTTCTCGTGGTTTCTTGCCTTTCGCGTGTATATCATTCCACTTTGAAGTTTTTCCTGCGCTATTATCCTATGATGGGTTCTCTTTACAATTATACAATGCAGTATCATTCATATTTTTCTATGAAATATAAAATGTACTTTGTGATTCCTTTAAAATTAATTAACTGGAGCAATTTGTTGTCCATTAACTGTTCACAGTAACTGTTTACGCTTCATATACAGCAGACACCCGATTTAGGGAAGTCTAGCTTCTTAAAATATTCAAAAGACAATAACAAATTTGTATCTGGACCTACCTTTACCATCTTCGAAGATCAGATAGTTTGAACGACCATAAGAAGGATAAGAACTTTCAGATTGTTTGAGGACATTCTTATGAACCCTGTATTTTAAAGGTCTCTAAAACAAAAGTAAAAACATGCTAAAACTATATTCAACAGTACTCATCGACGCATACAAGTTAACATAACATAGTCTTGCTTTACTTTGCATACATAGGAACCTAGATATGCAATCTTCAATCAACAATAAAACAGCGTCTGTATTTTGTTAGGCCTACATGTGGCAACCTTTACAGCACACAGAAATTGCAATATCATATGGTTTGTGTCGTAAACACATTTCGGAGCTCAGTCGATCAACTGAAATTCCAATGTTCGTGAACACTGAATCGTCAAGCTGTCGAAATGATTTAAGTTTTGCTACCTTCGATACAGATTATATCCCTCAATATATAATTCTATTTAACTCTACTTACCAGATGTCTGTAATTTCTCTTAGAACACAATCTTTAAATACAATCATTTCACAGTATTGTCTGGATGAACATTATCAGTCACGCGTGTCCCCTATTCGACATGTTACAAAACCCTCTGACACCTCCATTTTTAAAAACATCATTTGTACCACTGGATGTGAACATCAAACTACATTTAATACGGGCTATAAGACAAAATAGGACATCCTTTAGTGAAACATTTGAAAATCGTTAAAGTCGATTGTCTCTTTGGTGAGAGAGAGAGAGAGAGAGAGAGAGAGAGAGAGACTAGTAGTTGAATTTCTTAATGATCTGCCCACTCTACTCCCTAACAGTCTCCAAACATTCACTGCAGTCAATCATACTAATAATATCTAATATAATTGATTGTATTTTGGTGATGAAAATGATGCTTTATGTTGCATGTCGCTTACATTCGGTAGATACTTCTTTACCTGTCGTAAGCGGATGTCGGCTTTATTTATGTTGTTCCCTAATAAAATTAATTATTATACGGGCTACCAAGTGTAGAAATGCGTTATTCACCAAATTACTTCTAATGTTGGAATTTATGGATTCTTCGAAGTCATTAGTCGCCAAATTTTGGGTAAAAGAAATAACCATGCCATTCGTCCATTACGTCTTAAAATGTTCGCTATTTCGTGATCACAAAATGTGCTTTATCAATTGAAATGTGTTCTTCAAAAGCAATTAATAAGGTCGGCGGGAACCACACAAAAACAAATAGGATAAATACAAGATCGAATATTGTAGCTTGTCTGGCTATTCGGTCGAATGAGTAGGGACGTCAGTTTTTTGTATTTGTGTAAATAAACGGTCTCCAGTCGCGAGCTGCTTTATTGTTCAACAGCTTGACACGCCCCGTGGAATATGTAATGTGTAGCATATTGTCGGAAGATGACCACCGTTTCAATTTTGCGCCATATCTGTTGGATTATTCTATTTGGGGTATCACATACATGTCACATCATACTGCCAGTATATCCCGAATATTAAAATTTATGTAAAATATATTTTATGATTGTTATACATGTACTAGAGTATTAGTTATGGCAAGGTGTCCATGTTTCATGCATCAACAGCATTTGTAAAGTAACTATGATCGTAAGGATATAGTCGTATATGTACATCAAAATATCTAAATAAACCCAAATGAAGAGAAATGTATAGCGAGAGAGACACAGACGGTCAAACCGGTTGATTCATTTGTTTATTCTAAATAAGATATTCATGTATATAATAACCAAGCATAGAGAAGAGCCAATGGTTAAAATGCAACCTACCGGTAGGTATACCTTATCTTTGCCTGCCCGGCATTGTTCCGAGGAAAATTAACTTATGGGGAAAATGAACTGATTTAAAATGTTGCAACTGATATTCTTCTTTCGGACAAACTACCAATGCCTTACTCACCTGTTATAATACTACATAACAACAACGCACCCAAATGCGAAAAGGCAAAAACAAATCCAGTGAATCAGAGTTTTTAAATTCAAAAGGTAAAATGTAATCTAAAAGGCCAGTCCTGAATTACATAGGTACGTCTTTACCATCGCTAACGAGTGCCCAAAAAGACATCAGAGGGGTTGGGCTCTTGACCAGCCCAGTAGTCCACGAAACGGTCTATGAACTCGTTGGAATCAATCACACCATCCTCATTCCCATCAATGGCATCAGATATATCTTGAATCTTAGCAGTGTTTCGGAAAATAGTAAGGAAGTTGGAATATTCATCTACCATCAATTGCTATCACAGTCGAGATCAAACGTACCAAGCCAATCATTTGCGAATTTTACGATCTCCTATCTTGTAATAGGGAGTTCAACTTCTTCAGTCCGAAGCATATCTTGAAATGTGATGGATTTTGAATATTTGGCGTATTCATTTGAATACCACAGGTGGTAGCCACTGGGCAATATACCATTCACCGCCATGGCTCTCCAAGATGGAAGAACTTGCTGAGCTCGCTCTGTTGTTGAATCTATGAATTCCTGTTGAGTCACTATGTCACTTCCATCAACGTATATGATATTGTACTTGAAAATCCAGTGCTCCATGGTCAGAAATGTGCAGCACTCGCGCGATTGGCGAGGGCGCAACAGTAGGGCTTCACGTGACTCAACTAACCAATCACAGCACAAGAATGGCATCGCACACAGACTCTGTGATAAGTGCTCAGCCCATTGTCAAGTAGTGTTAGTTCATGGTAACAAGCGTCTGATATGTGCAGAGAAGTTTATTATTATAATATATATTGTTCTTATTGTTACATTATTAAATCTAACTCTGTATCCAAGTAATAACTATACGGTACCAAGTCAGGTACTGATGATGTGCAGAGGCCATATATTCCAGAATAAGCCATTACCACTGATTTATAACTTTTATTTTTGTTTAATATGTTATTCGCGAAAGAGTTCATGAAAGATTATTTTAATTTGTTAAATCATGATCTTATTCTTTTTATATTCAAATAATTGAATAATGTGGGTAAAATTGGTCTTCCACTTCTTATTTGCATTTTTCCTTTACTACAAGATTATTTTGGAACAGTTGCAGCATTAAAAATGTTAATAAATAGCAATCTGAAAGAAGAATTTTGCATAATTATTAAATGATGATAGGAATTTTGGATTAAGAGATTAGTTAAATACTGAGTAGTGATATGGTCAGTCAATTTATGTAGAATCTGATAATATGATTGAAAATACTGATTGAATTATTGGCCTTGCACTGGGCAGTTTTACATTTGTGCCAAGTGCTCTTTTTGGACTCCATTGTACATTGGTAAAAAATCTTCTATTGCCATGAAAGTTTTTAATCAGACTCTGTATGGTGCTGCTATCTGCTGGTGCTATCGGCAACGAATTAATTTGCCTTTGTTTCTGAGTGAATTTACCGTCTAAAATCACTATTACTGAAAATATTTGCGTTTTGCTGAGGGTAGGCTAGGCAATATACGGCAAACTTCTTAGTACGTGTGTACAACAAAATTTTTTTAAAAACCTAGCGATATTTGGTCAGGAGTTGCTTGAAGCATAGCACAGCGTTTCTGTCTATCGGCATCAGGCCGTTAGTTTGTCAATTCTCACGAATTACCCACGAATCGCGAACCCATTCATTTTCCTTTGGCAATCTAGCAACTCATTAAAAATGCACGCATGTGCAGTGGGCTAGGCGTGACGTCATGCAGTGCATTTCTGGGGATGCACTAAAGTTTCCTTTGGGGTTTTAAAATTTAACAAAATACTATAAAACAAACATGGCGTGGATGTGACACAACTGCAAATGGTCAAACATTGCTTATTGTTCACCCTATTTTTGTTTGTTAGCAGGGCCTTACCACTTAATCACTGCGCCAAACACCAATGACCAAGTGATTACCGTGGGTTTTCGCTGTTTGCGCTTATCAAATTGTCCCTTGAATTTTATCCTGCTCTATTATCCTGTTATATGATGGGTTCCTGAAGTATCATTTATAGTTTTCTTTGCGTTACAAAATGTAATCTGTGTTTCTTATAACATATTTAAGTCTTTAACTGCCGCACTATGTTGTCCCTTTGCTGTTTACAGTACCCATTTACGATTTTGTAGACACCCGATTTAAAGTAGTCTAGCTTCTTAAATATTCAAAAGCCAATAACAAATTCGTGCCTAGCCCTACCTTTACCATTTTCGAAGGGCAGATAGTCGGAACGACTATAAGAAGGAGAAGAACTTTCAGATTGTTTGAGAACATTCTTATGAACTCTGTATTGTTAAGATTTCTGAAACAAAAGTAACAACCAATTTAAACTATATTCAATAATCATCGAGTGTGAAATACAAGTTTATATACCACCCTTCACATAGGAAAATATTCTTGCTTTATTACTTTGCATACATAGGAACCTACATGTAGATATGCAATCTGCAATTGCCAGGGTCTGCCCAGGGTTTTGCCCATATGCGGCGACGTTTACAGCACAGTGTAATATCAAACAGTGTAATATCATACGGTATCATAATCAAAGACACTTCAGAGCTCGGTTCATCAACTACAATTTTACGTTTTTGACACCTTCGATACAGACTATATCCCTCAACATGCATTTGTATTTAGATTTACTTCCCAGATGTCTGTTGTTTCTCTTGGAGGCCAGGTTTATGTAATGTCTTGTTTAAGTGAGCATGGTGTATTTAAATGCAATTATTTCGCAGTATTGTCGGTATGAACATTATCAGTCACGCGTGTCCCCTATCCGACATGTTACAAATCCCCTGACACCTCCATTTTTAAAAGTATCATTTGTACCACTGGATGTAAACATCAAAATACATTTAATACGGGCTATGAGACAAACTAGGACATCCTGTTGACAAACATTCTAACATCGTTAAAGCAGATTATCTATTTTGTGATTGATAGATAGATAGATGAATACTAGTAGTTGAATTCTAAATGATCTGCCTACTCCACGTCCTTACAATCTCCAAATATTTCCAGCATTCAATCATGCTTATCATATCCAGAATAATTAATTTTATTTTGGTGATGAAAATGATGCTTTATGTGGCTTACATTCGGCAGACACTTCCTTACCTGTCGTAAGCGGATGTCGAGTTTATTTATTGTTATTCTCCTAATAAAATTGATTGTCATACGGGCTGCCAAGTGTAGAAATGTGTTTTTCACCTTGTTATTTCCAGTGTTGGGATTTATGGCTTCATCGAAGCCATTTATTGCCAAATTTTGGGTAAAAGAAATACCCAAGTGATTTGACAGACTTACATGTCACATCAAACAAAACATTACACTCCAGTATATCCCGCCCCTTTTTATTTATATAAGTAACTTTATAATGCTGTATATACATGCACTAGATTAGTAGTTATAGCTCTCGGGGCATCCATCCATGTTCCATGCATCAACTCCATATGTAAAATAGCCATGCTATGATCCTATGGCTATAGTCGTAAAATAACATGATCCTAAGGATATAGTCGTATATGTACAAAAAAAATCCAAATAAATCTAAATGAAGAGAGCACAGCCAGAGAGACACGCTGGTCAGACGGGTTGATTCAATTGTTTATTCTAAATAAGACAAACATGTATATGATAAACCTAGAAAAGAGTAGAGCCAATGGTTTTAATCCAATCTAGACATGCCTTATCTCTGCTTGCCTGGCAGTAGTACTGTTCCGAGGAGAACCAACTTACAGGGTAAAAAGAACTGATTGAAAGCGTTGAAACTGATATTCTCTTTTTGGACAAACTACCACTACCTAAAACAGCCTTTTCAAAAAAAAAAAAAATTAATTAATAAATAAATAAATAAGATAAAATAAGATAAAAAAAAAATCACAAAAACAGCGCACTCAACTAAAAAAGGCTAAAACAAAGCGAGTGCATACACGTTTAGAAACTCAAAAGGTAAAATGTAATCTTAAAGGCCAGGCATATGATTTAAAGAGGGACCTCTCTATCAGCGCGGGCCTAATAACGAGTGCCTAAAAAGACATCAGAGGGGCTGGGCTTTTGACCAACCCAGTAGTCCTCGAAAGCGTCTATGAACTCATTGGTATCAATCACATCATCCTCATTCCAATCAATGGAATCAAATATATCTTGAACCTTAGCAGTGTTACGGAAAATAGTAAGGAAGTTGGAATACTCGTCTACCATCAATTTGCTATCGCAGTCAAGATCAAATGCGCCAAACCAATCTCTTGCCAATTTTACGGTCTCTTCTCTTGAAATAGGGAGTTCAAATTCTTCTATCCGAAGCATTTCTTGAAATGTGAAGGACTTTGAAAAGTTGGTGTATTCATTTGACCACCACAAGTAAAACGCACTGTACAGTATACCATTCACCGCCATGGCTCGCCAAGATGGGAGAACTTGTTTAGCTCGCTCTGTTGTTGAATCAATGCATTCCTCTTCAGTCACTACTCCATTTTCGTCAACGTCCATGATATCAAAGAATTCTTTGTACTTGAAAATCCAGTGCGCACTAAAGTTTCCTTTGGGGTTCTAAAATAAACAACAAAAAACATAAAAAAACATGACGTGAAAAAAACATTGCCTATTGGTTACCCCAACACCAATAGCCAAGTGATTCACGTGGTTTCTCGCCGTTTACGCTTATCAAATTGTCCTTTGGATTTTATCCTTCATCATTATCCTTTTATATGATGAAATATCAGTGTATCACTTATAGTTTTCGATGCGTTACCAAATGTACTTTGTGTTTTTTTATAACATATTTAACCCGTCCTTTAACTGCCGCACCTTCTTGTCCCTTTACTGTTAACGGTAGCCATTTACAATCCTTGTAAACACCCGATTTCAAGTAGTCTAACTTCTTAAAATATTCAAAAGACAATAATAAATTCGTGCCTGGACCTACCTTTACCATTTTCGAAGAGCAGATAGTCGGAACGACCATGAGAAGGAGAAGAACTTTCAGATTGTTTGAGGACATTCTTATATAAACTGAGTATTGTTCACATTTCTAAAACAAAAATAACAACCAACTTAAACTATATTCAATTATATTCATCGAGTGTGAAATACAAGTATATATAACACCCTTCATATAAATATATATGATTGCTTTACTTTGCATACATAGGAACCTAAATATGCAATCTGCAATTAACAATAAAACAGCGTCTGTATTTTGGTAGGCCTAAATGTGGCGACGTTTACAGTACACAAACAGTACAATATCATAAGGTATGTACAGGGGTATCATAAACGCTTCGGAGCCCGTCGATCAACTTAAATTCCAATGTTCATGAACACTGAATCTTAAAGTTATCAAAATCACTGAAGTTCTTGACACTTTCGATACAGATAGTATCCCTAAATATGCCATTCTAAACTTAACTTACCAGATGCCTGTTGCTTCTCTTGCAGAGCCCAGTCTTATGTAATGTCTTGTATAAGTGAGCGTAATGTATTCAAATACGATCATTTCGTAGTATTGTCGGGATGAACATTATTAGTCACGTGTGTCCCCTATCCGACATGTTACCAATCCCCTGACACCTCCATTTTTAAAAGCATACATTTGTACCACTGGGTGTAAACATCAAACTACATTTAATATGGGCTATGAGACAAAATAGGACATCTTGTTGTCAAACATTTGAAATGTACATCCTGAATGTCAGCGTTATCATCATCGTAGACAACAAATAAATATTTTTATTTTGTGTTTGTGTTTGTTAGCAAACATGTTTAACGCGATTTTATTTCTTTTATCGACTATTTAAACGCTTATTTCGTAAGTGATGTGTGATGATCTATCTATCTATCTGCCTATCTAGTATCTATCGACTAGATAGATACTAGCAGTTGAATCACTTAATGATCTGCCTATTCCACTTCCTTACAATCTCAAACATTTACTGCAGTCAATCATAATAACCATATATAATATAATTAATTGTATTTTGGATATGAAAATGATGCTTTATGTTGCATGTTGCTTACATTTTACAGGCACTTCTTAACCTGTCGTAAATGGATGTCGGCTTTCTTTTTTGTTATTTTCCTAATAAAAGTAATTGTTATACAGGCTATCAAGTGCAGAAATGCGTTATTCACCTTATCACTTGTAATGTTGGGATTTATGGATTCTTCGAAGCCATTAGTAGACAAATTTTGGGTAGAAGAGTAGTAGTTATGACTCTCGGGGCAGAGCGTCCCTGTTCCATGCATAAACATCACATGTAAAATAAGCAAGTTGCGATTCTAAGGATTTATCGGTTGTATATGAACACGGAAATCACTAATTAAATCTGAATGAAGAGAAATGGAAAGAGAGAGAGAGACGCAGGTCAGACTGGTTGATTCAATGGTTTAATTATTCTAAATAAGATATATATGTACATGATAACCAAGCATAGAGTAGAGCCAATGGTTAAAATTCAATCTAGGCATGCTTTATCCGGCACTGATCCGATGAGAATCAACTGATGGGGAAACATTAACTGATTTATAATGTTGCAACTAATATTCTTCTTCCGGACAAACTATCATTACATAACGCACCTGTCATATCTTAAACAACGCAACACAACAACAGCGCACCCAAATGCGAAAAGGCAAAAACGAAGCGAGTACACGTTTAAAAATTTTAACTTTAATCTAAAAGGCCAGCTCTTAATTACAAGGGTACGTCTTTATATTCGCCGGCTTAATAACGAGTGCCCAAAAAGACATCAGAGGAGCTGGGCTCTTGACCAGCCCAGAAGTCCTCGAAACCATCTGTGAACTCGTTGGTATCAATCACACCATCCTTATTCCAATCAATGGCATCAGATATATCTTGAACCTTACGGGAAATAGTAAGGAAGTTGGAATACTCATCTACCATCAATTTGCTATCGCAGTCGAGATCAAACGCGCCAAGCCAATTTCTTGCAAATTTGACGTTGTCTTTTCTTTTAATAGGGAGTTCAATTTCGTCAGCCCGAAGCATTTCCTGAAATGTGATGGATTTTGAATAGTTGGTGTATTCATTTGACCACCACACTTGAAATGCACTAGACAATATACCTTTCACCGCCATGGCTCGCCAAGATGGGAGAACTTGTTTAGCTCGGCCGGCTGTTGAATCGATAAATTCCTCTTCTGTCACCTTGCCATTTTCATCAACGTCCATGATATCAAAGAATTATTTGTACTTCAAAATGCAGTGCGTACTTAAAATTTCCTTTGGTGTTCTAAAATGTTAAAAAAATACTATAAAACAAACATTGCCTATTGTTCACCCTAACTTAAATTGCTTGTTTTTACAACAGTACCTTATCACTTTATCACTGCTCCAAACAACAATGACCCAGTGACTAGCGTGGTTTCTCGCAGTTTACCTTTATAAAATTAAGCTTTAAAATTTATCCTGCGCTTTTATCCTATTGTAAAAAGGGTTCTATTTACAATAGTACACTGAAGTACACATATCATGGTCAAGACCAAGACAGAACATACCAAGGACTTTAACCCCCATCTCAAAATGCAGCAAATGGAACATACCAGTGATTCTGAACACAAACCCTCAATCACTTAGGGACAAGGTCTCAGAAGTTTCTACTATCTTACTTCAGAATCAAGTGGATGTTGCCTGTATAGTTGAATCGTGGTGTCCTGATTTTATACCCGATGAACATATCAACATTATTTCATATGAGACTCTAAGACGTAACCGACAAGTGAAACGGGGTGGTGGTATAGTTTGTTATATCCATCAGTCTATACCATTTGAAAGGCTTAGCTGGGCACACCATGATCAATTTGAGACCCTGTGGATCAGACTCAACCCACAGAGAATGCCTAGACAGTTCAACCCACTAGTGGTTGGATGTATTTACCATCCACCAGATAGCAACCATAATAACATGGTCCGACATCTGCTTGAAACACTTGATACAATAAAAACAAAGTATGTGAATGCTGGAATAATTTTGACCGGAGACTTTAACCATCTGCCTGACAAATTGCTCATTAAAAGCCACAGATTAAAACAACTCACCAGTATGTGCAATCTGGAACAATACCATACGTCAAGGAAAGCTACCAACAATCTGGAAATGTGCCAATGTAGTGCCACTGCCTAAAATTAAACTAGCACTGAGCGTGGAAAATGATTTAAGACCTGTTTCCCTAACACCTATCCTCAGCAAGGAATTGGAAGCATTCATTTTTACATGGCTGTGGGAGATACTAGGACCACATATTAAGAAAGATCAGTTTGGCAATGTTAAAGGTTCCTCCACCACAATGGCCTTAATCGAGCTATTTGACACCTGGGCCAAGGCCAGTGACACTCATGGGGCACAGTCTCGGGTTTTATTACTTGATTTTAGAAAAGCGTTTGATTTAATAGACCACAATATTTTGCTAGGCAAGCTTTGCAGCTATGGAGTACCTCCAGTATTACTCAGATGGGTCCATGCCTTTTTACTAAATAGACAGCAACGGATCAAGTGTGGATCAGTAATGTCACAATGGTGCCATATTCATGGGGGCGTGCCCCAGGGTACAAAATTAGGACCTCTCCTTTTCATTACAATGATAAATGACATGGAATGTTTTTTACCAGCAGTAAAATATGTGGATGACACTACAGTTTATGAGACAGTTCACCAACCATCTCCAAGGGAAATAGAACAAGGTGCCAAACCTACACAATCTAAACTTCCCATAGCAGCCTCAAACCTATATGAATGGACAAAACAAAATAACATGCTAATCAATCCTAAAAAAACTGTTGAACTGTTTATCTGTTTCAGTAAAAACCCTACTGTACCTGATAACCTAATAATTGATGGTATAAAAATCGAACAAGTTTCACATGCCAAACTGCTGGGAGTTCATATCAGTTCTAATTTGAAATGGGACTTACATATAGAAAAAATTCTCTCAAAAGCTGCATCCAGACTGTATTTCTTATGCATGGTCAAACACGCTGGGGTGCCGAGACATGACCTCTTACAAATTTATAAAAGCAATCT